TCGTATACCCACCAAAGCATTCACAAATAACAGGTAATGGCATTATTCTTGCCCAGAAAGTGATAAAAAATGTGCTTTGGAGTAAATGGAAGTGCTGACGTGTGCTTTTTAGAATAACGTACCGTGCAAACTATACCAAAGGTAATGCAAACGACGTAGGGTGTCCGTTCTATTTTCCAACAACTGTATACACCTGTTGTGGATTTTGTGTTCATGCAGAACTTAATTGACCATTCGTCAGAGATGGGTTTACAAAGAAGGCAGAATTTAAGAATCCGGCTTTTCGTTAAGTGCCGTTTTCTTGAATGCGTTTTTGCTTATTTACCAAAATTTAAATTGGCTTAGGTAGTCTAAACCCGAATATCTACTACTATTTCCTCCACAGTACAGATTACACTATGACCAGAAGGTTGAAGACACTAATTAAACTTCGACTCGACCGCTAGAATAGACTTTGCCTGGTTCATGGCCACATTCAAACAGCACAGCACTGAGGCTACTGCTAGTCTTTAATTTGGGTTGTGTTCGTTTTCAGTTTGTAGTGGCTGCTTCTGCCTGACGAACTCTTTAGTTAAGTGGCCAGAAATGAGGTCCGTCAGAGCATAGCACATCGCGCGAAAGCAGTCTTCTGCGGGCAACAGTTGCTTATGTAGTCCCAAACATTAATCCCTACAACCTGCTTGTCTTCCTATGAAAACGGTGTTTATCGGGTTTTATGGGCGGGAGATTAGGACACCCAGTGGAATATACTCTAATAAATGATAAATGCATTTTTATTTTACTGTATTTAGATGTGTTGCTGATTTATATCTGTAGATGTTCCTAATCTGTATAATCCTTTAACTTATTGCGAAAAAACCCGATTATCAAACTGCAGGTTTCTTGAATTTTCCGAAAAATTGAAATGGTGGTTAGGAGGTCGTCTACTTCAACTTAGCTGTGGTCCAACTTACCGTTCTGTTACTTCAACTTACCTGTGGTCCAACTTACCGTTCTGGAGTTAGATTAGTACAGGAGGTCGTCTACTTCAACTTACCTGTGGTCCAAATTACCACTCTGGAGTTAGAAAAGTATAGTCCGCGCGCAAAGCGCCACACACACCTTCAATTTACATGCGGAAAAACCTGCTCCCAGCGGTCCCACGAGGCTATTTCGACTACATTCGTTTTCACTTTACACTTACTTCAAAAAATTTCCTTCTCTGCCTGTCCTATTTTCCTACCCAACAAAACTCTATAACCACCGTTCTTGCAGGACAAAATGCTGGGAGTGGGAATATATGAGTCGGGCTACATAAGCTACTCTTGCCCATCTAGGTGTGGTTTCCAGACTCTGATCGGATCAGGCGCAAAACTGCAGGCCTTGTCTTCCGTGGTGACCTCAACCCACAGTGGCTTGACGTCAATCCGTCCTATGAGGTGTCCGATTTAGTAGACTAGCCTCATTTGTAGGTTTGTCTCAATCCGTCTGGACACAGACCTCAGGGTGGCGACTGTGGCGCAGAAATCACTTCGGGCCTCGCCATTTTAGCAGAGGAAATGCGCTCCGACGGTCAAATCTCCTTCAAACTCTTTCTCTCGAGAATATACTGTTTCTAGCACTCTGGCTTCCTCATAACTTCTCTCATCACCTAAGGAACCGGACCTGAAAGATCGTGGCTGTAAGGGTTTAACATTACCAACCTCAACACCCCTCGATAAGTTCACTTCACATCGAAAGGCTCAAGCCATCAGCAGGTTCTCAACCAAATAATTATATTCCCTCCTTGTATGCAGCAGGTGGACATCTTTCTCAAGAACAGAGGAAAAGGTTCGCATCCCAGGTATTCGTCTAGAAGAAGAAGTCGTTGCGATCTCCGGAAACTTAATTTTATTCTTCCGAGCTTTCGGGCTCTTCTCGGAGTTCGTCGTCAGAGACAAACCCTCAACGAAAAGCAAGCAACAGTTAAAGGGAGCAGAGACCACTTAACTGTTGTAGGGGAAAGCCTGAGGGCGTAAAGTAGGGTAGGGGAAAGGAAGGGGGAGTGGGCGCAGAATAGAGGAGGAGGAGGAGGAGGGGAGACTCATTAATCACCCGTTGCGGTCGTGCGTATATGCATGCGGAGAGCGATGTAGGCGGGTGCCAAATCTGTGCACCGGTTGAATGAATTGTCATCCGAGGCTCAGGCTTCAATTTGCTCTCGTGCGGTCTTGCTGTCGGCGTGGGCAACTATTCTTGCGGCCGCGAAGTTAAATGTGTGCCTCGTTTCATAGGTGTGGACCGCCACTTGCGACTGGCCGTTTCCCTGTCTGACAGCTAGCTTATGTTCGTACATGCGCGAACCAAGCATACGTCCTGTCTGTCCGGTATAATTCCGGGGACAGTTCAGACATGGTGTGCGATAAACTACGCCAAACTGCTCACTGGCGCTTAATCGGTCCCTTATTCTCATGACACAGCTGCGCATGGTGGCCTTGGGACGGTGCGCAATTCCGACGCATAGTCCCACAGCAATACGCTCGGTCGCTTCCGACACATTCTTGATGTATGGCAAGGCAAGC